GGGAGGGTCAGAGGGAGAAGCAGACTCCCTGCCGACCAGGAAGCCCGATGCAGGACTCGATCTTGGGACTCCAGGATCATGACCTGAGCCGAAGGCAGTCGCTTAACCAACTGAGCCACCCAGGCGCCCTACTTGGTCATTTTTTATAAACTCTTATTTCATGCTTTTTTAAAAAAATAACTTTGAGATAGGGGTGCCTAGGTGGCTCAGTCATTAAGCGTCTGCCTTCAGCTTAGATCATGATCCCAGGGTCCTGGGATTGAACCCATATCGGGCTCCCTGCTCGGCGGGAAGTCTGCTTCTCCCTCTCTCTCTCACTGTGTCTCTCTCTGTCAAATAAATAAATAAAATCTTAAAAAAAAATAACTTTGAGATGTAATTTATATACCATACAATTCACCCATTTAAAGTGTACAATTCAGTGGTTTTTCATATACCCACAGTTAAATGCAACCATAACCACAGTGAATTTTAGAACATTTTATTCTTTGTTTTTTTACTTCTAAATATTTCAGTGTTTATTTTTTAAGAACAAGTACATTCTCTTACATAATCATGATATAGTAGTTGAAATCAGGAAAATTAACAATGATGCAACTATATTATTTAATCTGAAGTCCATATTCAGCTTTTGCAGTTGTCCTAATGATGTCCTTTATGATTATTCTCCCTTCCCACCCTGTCCAGGATCTGGTCTAGAATCATGCATTACATTTAGTTGCCATGTCTCCTTTAATCTAGAGCAATTCCTCAGTCTTTTCTTATGTATGATTTTTATATTTTTGAAGAGTCCAGGCCAGTTTTTTTGGTTGAATGTCCCTCAGTTTAGGTTTGTGTGATATTTTCTTGTGATTTAAATTCAAGTTATGCATTTTGGGCAGGAATACCACAGAAATGATGTTACATACTTCATGGTACATCATATCAGGAGGTGCCTTAGTCAGTTTGGGATGCTATAACAAAATACCATAGGCTTGGATCTTAAACAATAGACATTTCTTTCTCATGGTTCTAGAGGCTGAGAAGTCCAAGATCAAGGTGCTGGCAGATTTGCTTCTTGGTGAAGGCCTTCTTCCTGGCTTGTAAACAACCATCTTCTTGCTGTGTGCTCACATGGCTTTCCTAGGCATGTGTTTGTGGAGAGAGAGAGAGAGCTGTCTCTCTCTCTCTCTTCCTTTCTTTATAAGGACACTAAACCATCATGAGGAGCTCCACCCTCATGGCTTCATCTAAATCTAATTACCTCCCAAAGTTTCCCACCTCTTAATACCATTACAGTGGGGATTAAGGCTTCAACAAATGTGTTTTGAGGGAATAGAAACAGTCTGTAACAGGGGGCACAAGATGTTGCTTTATCCTATTATTGGTGAGGTTAATTTTGATCAGTTGGTTAAAGTCACTGTGTATGTTGAATAAGAGGACCACAGGTCTTTTATTTTATTTATAAAATTTTATTCCTTGTTGTAAATTGTTTACAACATGCAAAGTGATTTGCATGGTTGGCACCATGAATTTCTCTCTTGATATTCCCGACAAACCTTGCGTTTTCTTTCATTACTTTCAAAGTCTCAGATAAACATTTAAATTCTAAATCATTCAACAGAGGAATCCTGCATTTCTGTAGTCAGTGTTACATTCTCCCACCCTCCCCGAGTCTCTAGGAGAACTCTCTGCATTGGACATTTCTTCTGTTTAAGACATGCCCCTGCACACGCTTTATACACAAATGTTGCACTTGAGCCATTCCATCTTACATTTATTTAAACCTTTTCACATATATTTTTACACACAAAATAGGATCAGATTTTTCAAGGTCAAAACGTTTTCCATTTTGCTGAATTTCTCTCATGGTAGCTTTTATTCATGTGTGTGTTTAAATCATAAGTTCATATTTGATTGACCTGCAGCTGTCGGACTCCCGAGTGCATAAGTGCATTCTCTCCCCCCTGACAGTGTTTGCACTGCTTTTGCAGTTAGCCATGGGGCATTGCCAACGCGGGACCATTTTAACCTCCTCCAAAAATTCCAACGTGAGGGGCACCTGGCTGGCTCAGTCGGTAGAGCACGAAACTCTTGATCTTGGGGTCATGAGTTTGAGCCCCATGTGTGGTGTAGAGTTTACTTAAAAAAAAATATTACAACTTGAGAAGGGATTAATATCCAGAATATATAGAGAACTTTTAAAACTCAAAAATGGGCAAAGAATAGACATTTCTCAAAAGAAAACATATAGATGGACAGTACACACATGAAAAGATGCTCAAGGTCACAAATCATTAGGGAAAGGCAAATCGAAACTACAAGATAACCACCTCATACCCATTAGGATGGCAACTAATTGAAAGCCAGATAGAATAACAAGTGTTGGTGAGGACATGGAGACACTGGAGCCCTAGTGTGCGTGCTATGGGTGGGAATGTAAAATGGTACAGCCATTAAGTGAAACACGCCAGTCACCACAAGGCAAACACTATAGGATTCCACTCACGTGAGGTACTTGGAGTCGCCAAAATCAGAGACAGGAAAGAGAATGGCGGTTCCAGGGGCTGGGGGAGGGAAGGAATGGGGAGTTAGTGCTTAATGGTTATGGAGTTTCAGCATTGCAAGATGAAGAGTCAGGAGGATGGATGCTGGTGATGGTTGCACATTAGGAATGTATTTAATACCACTGAGCTGTACACTTAAAATGGCTACGATGGTAAGTTTTATGTAGTGTGTATTTTACCACAATAAAAACACTGGGGGGGGGGCGCCCAAAAGAATTCCAGTTTAATGTAGGAGCTTCAGTTCTAGTCCCCCACACTGTGGGGTGTCTGGATTCATACCCACATTTCCAGTTGGGTTTCCCATTCGCTTGCTTACTGCCCAGTGTTTCTATTTCCACACACTTTTCCCGCCTGCTTTCTGAGAGCCCAGCAGTGCATTAATAGGGAAGAATTTGTGAACATTTAGTTGGTTTGGGGAGGGAGGGCCCTCCAGAGTACGTGTGTGCCCACGCCTCTGCAGATAGAAACCTCTTCTTTTCTTTTTGAACCTAATTCTTGCCAGAAACTTTCAAGTGGGCCCTTGAAACATACATGTTTCCTTTTAAACCTGCCTGCCACACCCATTTTTTGGGGTGCCTGGATGGCTCAGTCAGTTAAGCATCTGCCTTTGGTTCAGGTCATGATCCCAGGGTCCTGGGATCGAGCCCCACATCGGGCTCCCTGCTCAGCGGAGAGTTTGCTTCCCCCGCTCCCTCTGCCCCTCCCCCACCCCCGCTCATTCTTTCTCTTCTCTCTCTCTCAAATAATATTTTTAAAAAAATATGCCTGCCACACCATTTTAAAACAGTTTTACACACTTTTTTTTTTAAGTTTTTTTTTTTTTTGACAGAGAGACACAGTGAGAGAGGGAACACAAGCAGGGGGAGTGGGAGAGGGAGAAGCAGGCTTCCCGCAGAGCAGGGAGCCTGACTCGGGACTTGATCCCAGGACCCTGGGATCATGACCTGAGCCGAAGGCAGACACTTAATGACTGAGCCACCCAGGCGCCCCAGTTTTACACACTTCCTTTAGGACAAAAGAATGAAAGGGGATGAATGGAACATATTTCTCACAGAATTGGGACTGGTCAGAGGGCATCCTTGTTCCCAAACTGATGTTTGCAGGAAGAATGATGGGGTGGATGTAAATGGCATGGCTTCTGAGCCTTAAGTCTATACCTCCTAATCAATTCCTGTTTTCTCCTCTTTTCTGTGTCCAGCGCAATTACTTGAAAACCATGATGGGCCTCCAGCAGGGACACAGGAAATAGGGACTAATCGCCAATACCTTAAAGGACAAGACTCCCAGGAACCCCCGCCTGTTCTATATGGGCTGCTAAACCACCTGCCCAGAGCTCCAAATGCTCTGCTCCGAGGCTGGGGCCCAGCACAGAGAACTCACGAGGGCCTGCCTGCCTCCCAACGCAAACATCCTTCACAGGACACCCTTGCTCATCTTCACAGAACACTTTTGGTTTCAGTTCACTGTCTTATATGCAGGGACAGGATAAACTAATTTTCCAGTCTGGACTTTTGATGCTCACTCAAGAACTTGCTTTTATTTCCTGTCCAGGAGGATGTCTTCCCTGTGTACAGGTGGGGTCAGAGCTGAATCTCCAGTAAGAAGGTGAAAAAGTAGCTTAGCCACCCTCCTCCTGTCCCGGCTTTGTCCCACTGGCCAGCCCCTTTCCTTCTCTGGATGGACATCCTGGGGGTGAGCTGGGTCTGAGGAGCCCCACTTCTCACAGCTCCTTCAGGTCATAGGTTCATCAGGGCATCCTTCCTGTGCTCCTGAGCCAGTGAAGGCGGGAGGCCCTCCTTCCTCAGCTACCAGAAGACGAATGGGTTTAGGTGGAAATGGCTGAAGGGCAGATTTTTTTATCTCACAATAAGAAGAGGCTTAAAATGAGAGCAGTGTTACCATGAAGTTAGCAGGAAGAGCCCCACAGTAGGAGGCTCTCTGGCAAGGAGGTTACAGAACATGCACTGGATAGAAGGTTGAACTGGATGGCATTGGTCCAGAGACCCCGTGATTCTGACTTCAGCCCGTCAGTGAACAGATGGATGGGGGTTTGTGGAAGACAGAAAGTAGAAAGGCATCCTTAGGGTCTCTGCCCTCTTCCTGTTCAGCCCCTTTCTCTTTCACTGACTGATACACAATGATCCTAAAAGAGCTTTCAGAGACTTCTACTACGCCAAGGCTTCGCAGAGCAGCTTTGAAGTGCCCCAGCTTCATCCCCCTGGGTGAGACACACGGGGACTGTCCCTGACCAGCACTAATGGTGTGCACACAGCCATGTTGGTCAGTCCTCATGTTTCCTTTGATTGTGGCCAAATAGACAAGTCTGCCCAGGCTCTGCCTACCTTCCCAGCTAGTGGAGGCCTTAGGCAGAGAGTTCGGATTCTTTCCTTTCTTGGCTGCCCCTGCTCTTACCAGGACTTATTGGGGGTTCCCAGGTCTTTGGGGCATCTCAGGAAAGAGGACATAGCAAACAGGTTACATCATCTTGTTGGGGCCACAGGAAGCAACTGTTTGTGGCTTCACCAACCGCCTTTCCTTCATTCCAGCAGGGCCACAGGCCAGAATGGCATGGCCCTGCAGACATCACTCCCTAGGATTCCTAGATGGCCAGTCTCGGGCCTGCTGGCCAGGGCGAGCTGGGCCTCTGTCACGGCAGTTGGGCACATTCGTCTTTAGCTCATTCATTACTACACAGGCCTCTTTGGCACAACGTGAAACAGGCAGTGGCCGGCGTAGGCAGAGCCACAGGAATAAGCCAGGATGGTGCTCGGTAGATCACCCTCCACACAAACTCCTCACAGGAGCAGATGCTCCCAACGTGACAGGGAGCTAGGGGGCATCATGTCCACTCACATGGGCCTGTTGTTCTAGAAACTAGTTCCAAAATCACCCCTGAGGGGACTTCCAATTCCATCGTGTGACAGATAAGATAACCTGACAACTCTTGCTACAAACAGAAATGCTGGCTCAAGTAGAAATTTTTATTTTTTATTATTTTTTTTTTAAAGATTTTATTTATTTGAGAGAAAGAGCATGAGCGGGGGTGGAGGGGGAGGGGCAGAGAGAGAGGGAGAAGCAGACTCCCCACTGAGCAGGGAGCCCAGTAGGGCTGTATCCCAGGACTCTGAGATCATGACCTGAGCCTAAGGCAGATGCTTAACCGACTGAGCCACCCAGGCGGCCCCCACAGGCCGTTCTTATACAGCAGGTAGCAGGTGCACATGGGGAGATTGCCGAAGGGAGCACATCCTTTAAAAAATACAAATACAAATACCCAGTCCCCCATCCTCTCTGACAGGGAACCCCTGTCACTTGTTTCTTGTGTTCCCATTGCGCATTGTGCTGTATCTTGCCTTTCCCACTAAATAGTGTATCCTGAAGATCATTCCATTTCTTTTTTTTCTTAAAGCTGTATACTAGTACTCCATTGTGAGGATGTATCAAAATGTACTTAACCCATCTCATTGAGGAACATTTGGGCAGTTCCGTTTGTTTACAGTACCAATATTGTGATAACCTTGTACAAGTGCGAATTCACATGAGTGAATATACGTGAAAGTTAAGTTTTGTAGAAGTGAATTTTTTGGTCACAAGGACATGTGTACTTATTTTTTTTTAAAGATTTTATTTATTTATTTGACAGAGAGAGACACAGCGAGAGAGGGAACACAAGCAGGGGGAGGG